TCCGTCTGTCTGTCCGTCTGTCCGCGGCTTAGCGTGGACACTATCGGTACCCTAAAGAGCTATAATTTTGCATGGTTATATGTGAATACCAGAAATAAAAAAGACTCTAAGAACCAAAATTCGGTGGAAGTGGGTTGCCTCAAAAACAATCGCAAATTTTACAAGTACAAAACATGAATAACACCATTTTTTTGTTCTTCATTTCATTTGCGATGTTTACTAGACAAACATTGACATTGGGATGAACCAATTTGTATCAAACAGATATTACTTGTGCGGGTAGATTCCCAAGCCCTTTTTCGGTAGCATAATTGTGCCTACCTCATTTTTAAGTGAAGGTCTTTTGGAAATCTGTAAAAGCAAAACAATTATAATAATCCATACTAACATTATAAATACGAAATTGTGTCGGTACTATAGATTTTCAATTTTTGTTTTCAAAATTTAATATTAAATATAATAAATAAAGGAAGTTTTAATAAAGACATATCTATAATCCATTTTTTTTTGTTGAATTTATTTTATCTAAGGACAGAATTTTTCATTTACACTTTTATTATAATACTAGGTAACAGACCCTACACAATAATTTTCTTCTTTAGTTGAGGAATTAAATTAATTAATTAAATATTGATGTTTCTTCATTAAGGAATAAAAAAAAATATTATCGATATGGTTCCGCAATCACATCATCACACATCTACTTTGAAAAAACCTAAAAGTTAACCCTAACGTGATCTGATGGATTATAATATTAAATCACTTTTAAATAATATCAAATTTAAAATAAGTCACTTAAATGAATCTTTACACACACATCTTTTCACATGCTCAGTGCAGCACGTGCTCGTGTATTTATTTATGATTCAGTTTATAAATGATAGCTCGCTGGTAAAAGAGTGTACCAACGAATACGAGGTGAGTCCATTGGGTTAAATGGTCTAAGGGTGGTCCCCCATTAGATGGAGTAACGATCTTTTAAGACACGTACGATGTCGATGGTTGCAGATGGATCAGGACCGTGTTTTGTGGTACCTTGTGTGAGGCTTATGGTCAGCAGTTAACTTAAAAAGGCCGTAACAATAAAGATGTTTAATAACTAATAGTTTTTAAAGTTTTTTATTTAAATACACATTCGATGTCTCCGTGGCGCAGTGGCTTAGCAATGAATTGTAGCGCTGCGAGCCACGGGTTCGAATACCGCACGGAACAAGTATTTGTATGGCCAACAAATAATTTATGAAAATTGTAAACTGCCTTTACGGTACAGGAGAAAATTCTAGTGTGGGGGTAACGTTTTTTAACGTTTTATTTTTATAAGAATAAGAATAGTGATAGAATAGTAATAATATTATATATATCCAGACGAAATTCGAAGCGAAAACGTATTACACAAGGGTCCCCAACTGTATTGTATTCGAACTTGCGACTCCTCAATACCATAACGAAACATAACGGCAATACTGAGCCGTCCGATATTGATTATATTAGCTCATATTTCCTTTATTTCTTAACCTAAACCTAGTGTGAAATAATAATTGATAGTGAAATTTACAACTAAGCAATAAATCCTAGTTCCCGTTGTTGTACTGCAGCGGTACTGCGGGAACGTCGATTCAATTTATAGTTTTGAGTCAGTTTAACTAGATTCATTCCATATAGCGACATAAATAACTTAGCAAAGCTGTTTTCTATTCTCGAGAGATATTAGTTTTTATATATTATTTACGTGACAGAGTCACGCTGCAATAATATCTTCCAGACTGAATTTCGGTCACGACGGACAGTCCTCAAGGACACTAGCCATCTGTGCAGGATGGAGTTATAGTACACGAGTGTGTGCGAAAACATATATGCACTCTACATATATTCATTCGCTCTCATTATCCGATGGGGCGGCAATCCGACTCGTCCGGAGAGAGATCAGGTGCAGAATTCATGGCTTTGTGTGCCTTTCGCCGGTGAAACACTGACTCCCGGTTACAACTAAGAAATTTCAATTGACTTTGGCCCAAATAGGGATTCATCTCGAGCTCCTGTGATCAATAGTCGACTGAAGGCCACTAAATTAACGAGGCAGTCCAACTGTACTATACGCACGCTGCAACTATTTTACGGCTGCAGTTTGAATGGGTTGGTTCGAACGGGGAAAGCCCACACTCGCGCAGAATGTCAACGCAAAATAGAATGTGTGTTTCAAATGTAACGTGTATAGAACTAGAGACCTTTTTACTGGTAACAAGTTATTACATCTACGTACTCAGGGGTAACAACGAATCTGCATTTTAATTCTAAATCGATTGCATATAGATGTATTTGCTATAGATCAAAGCATCTATTTACCACCAGGTGGACAGTGTGCTGGTTTGTCGCCTTTACTATTATTTGTAATATTTTATTATTTAATTTATTAAGATTGATAATTATTAATTTATCTTGTTATGACGGATATGTTATGTAGAGAATGAATGAATTAATGAAATATACTTTATTGTACACCAAAAATACATATGATAGAAAAATAAAATAAAAACATATTTAATGGTACAATTCGCAGCCTTATCGCTTAGGAACGATCTCTACCAGACAACCATTGCAGAGGATAAAATGACCTGTGAGAAAGGGTAAGGGTGTACGTAGGTTGTTTTAAAATACACACGACATACGTATAATTATACAATCAATAAATACATACATACTATAATAAGTAAATACATATTAAATACAAAAATATAGACATACATATACAAGAGCAGAAAGGATTAAACAAGTAAGTGAAGTCAGAGCCTAAACGTAAGGAAAAATGAGTATGTAGTATTTTTTTCGAAGAATGACTATTTAAGGAGGAAAGAAGTGCACTTTGAAAAGTTTTTTAAACATATCAATAGACTGCGCACTTCTAATATGCAGCGGTAGGGAGTTCCAGAGCCTAACACCTTCAAAAGAAAAGGATTTAGAATAGAGTAATCTGGGCTTCTTTCCAGGAAGACGGAAGATTTCCGGACAAAATGAAATAATTAAAAATGGATTTTATAACAGGAGTCAAGATATTGACAAAAGGGATAATCATTTTACGACTAATGCAGTCCGTACTAATGGCATCAGAATTGACCTCAACAATGCTTTTCTTAACATCGTTATCAGTGATTTGACTAAAAATAAACGCAGGATTGTCAGATTTGGTTAAAGTTGAAATTTGAGTTTTAGTTTGTATTTTTGTGACATCATCTATGGCACAAGAAGAAGAGAAATGCTGATTTAGCTGGCTTAAGTCAATATTTTTGGGGCTACTATTTTGACTCGTTTTCCAAACTTCAAGAGACTTAAGGCGCAGGTTGAGCAAAATGTTGCGCTAGTCGTTATTTGTGCGGTTTTTAGGAGCTATCTACTTTTTATTTAAAAGATATATCAACAAATAAAAAACACATTATATTTCTACATAATCTTGATTCCATAAAAGCTATATCCAATTTTTTTTAAAAAAAATAAATATTAATATAATCTCCTTACAAAGTAACCCCATAAATATGAAATTATTATTGATATTGCATCTCTTCGTAAAGTAAGTATTATTTTATTTTGCGATTTACACCAATGGATAGGCAATTTATTAATGAACATTTCTATAGTAAATTTTTTTTTTAAAAGACCAAAATTTGATTTTATTAAGAATTTATTTTAAAATCTGGGCATATTCACTGCTCACGGGCTTGCTGAAGTCAGTGAGCCCTGAGCTCTTCGACGTGAAGCCCGTGTCGTTAGAGCGTCGACCAGCACATACACTCACGTCATATCAGTCGATAATAATATTACTTATTAGGTTATTTATAGGTAGTATTATTTGTTTGTTTTGGGTATAATTTTTCGTATTAGTTATACATATATTTGTTGTGTTTTTTACCGCGCGATGAAGCTTTTTGCGTGTATTTTCTTTGAAGTAAATGCAAATAAAAAAATGAAGCACCATTAGCATGTAAGGTTCGAATCCATAATTAAAATTTCGACAAATATTATAATTTACACTATAAAAGGCTAATTCAATATTATCACCCAACCACAATATCTTATTAAGTATAGTACTGCCTCGTTGGTCTAGTGGTTGTAGTAGTGCGACTTCTGATTATGATGTCCCGGGTTCGAATCCTGGGTCGGGCCAAAAAGTCAGTTATGAGTTTTTCATTTATGTTCTAAGTTATAATTAGTATTACTAAGTTATAGTTTTTTGCTAAAATATAGTATATTATTTATTGCTTGTTTTTTTCTTCTTTTTCAAAAAATAATTGAGTACATAAGGTGTTCTATACTTATAATTCGGTAAAAAGTATCTAAGTAGGTACTAATATACCTACTTTTTACTATTAACTAAAAATTTTTAAAACTAAATTTAACTGAAAAGACTAAACTGACCATTAATTTTGTAGGCACCTATTTATTTATTTATTTATTTACATGTCATTTATTTAATAACAATAATATTAACAGATCATTTATCTAATATATATTATTTATTAATATACGTGCCATATATATTAACACACGTACACTACTTTACACATTCATAATAATATACGGAACACCACGCATTTAACCAGTTCGCCGTGCAATCGTATCGTCGAGCAAAAAATCCGAATCTTTTGTTCATAGCGATGACGTAGTGGTGGCGCGATGAACTCCGGCGCAGTGACCGCGATCAACGACGCGCCCGGCAGTCGGAACCTACTCTCGACGCGAAGCGCATGTCGCTCAATGCTTTACGCCTTATATAATAACTGTTGCTACTTACGCGCTGCTTATTTTATGTTTATTGTTTTTCATATCTGCTCGGACTTTCATAATTGTATTCATCTTCATTCTTCAACGCTTCCTTCCTTCTGTACTGTGAGCCTTAAACTTTGTTAGTGTCATGTGTGTTAGTGAATATATCCCTTATAAACTTTGGTGAGCAACTTTATTTCTACACACCTATCTGACCTACATTGGTGACCCCTGCACTGAACACTATGGACCGCGGTGATTATTTTGAAGATGCAAGCAGTGGCAGCAATAATAAAAATGCAAAGGGACGGGTAGGCAGCGGCGAGACCCGTACAACCGAAGCGGCCGACATTTCAACGGAAATTTTTAAAGTAGGCGTTAGGGTTCCTCCGTTTTGGCCCGAAGAACCCGAAATATGGTTCGCGCAAGTCGAGGGACAATTTGCGATTTCTGGAATCACGAACGACTCGACGAAATTTAGTTATGTCATCGGCCAATTAGACCATCAATTTTCAAAAGAGATAAAAGATATAATTATTAATCCTCCTCTCAATGACAAATACTTAAAATTGAAGACTGAGTTAATAAAACGGTTGAGTACCTCACATGAAAAGAAGGTAAAACAGCTTCTGATGCATGAGGAGCTAGGCGACAGAAAGCCTTCGCAGTTCCTGCGGCATCTCCAGAGCCTTGCTGGACCTCAAGTTCCTGATGACTTCCTGCAAACTATTTGGACAAGCAGGCTTCCAAGGAACATCCAAACAGTTTTAGCGGCTCAACCTAGCGCGTCGCTGGAGGTACTGGCGGACTTGGCAGACCGCATTCAGGATATCGTTCTAGCGTCACCACAGGTAGCTGCAGCCGCCTCAACAGCTACCGCAACACCTGGTTCCAGCTTCAACGCTCTTACCCATGAAGTCGCCGAGCTACGGAAACAACTACACAAATTGACCACACAGGTAAACTGTAGAGCTCGTTCCCGAACACGTAATCCACATAGAGGGCGGTCGAAATCTCGATCGCAGTCGCGTTATAGGAAATTCCCACTATGCTGGTACCACGCGAAATTTGGGAACCGCGCGAACAAATGCGTGGCACCATGTGACTACAAGACGGGAAACTGCAAGGACAGTCCTTAATGGCGACTGATGACTGTCCTAGTAAAACTGGTCGCCTGTTCGTCACGGACCGTTCGTCGAAAATACAATTTTTAATTGACACAGGCAGCGACCTTTGTGTGTATCCTCGTTCATTACTTCGAGATCGGCGGACACCCACAAATTATAAACTCTGCGCAGCAAATGGGAGTCCCATAAAAACTTATGGCTTCGCACATCTAAGTCTCGATCTTGGATTGCGTCGGAACTTTAAATGGCGTTTTGTGGTGGCTGATGTCACCAAAGCAATAATTGGTGTCGATTTCCTATCGTTTTATAATCTTATTGTAGACTGTAGAAATCAATGCTTAATAGATAATGTTACTACTTTAAGAACTAATGTATGTTTAATTTCTTGTTCAGATAATGTAACATCTGTAAAGGTTTCGACTGGCTGCACGCGGTACCATAAAATTTTGGGTGAGTACCCTGAGATTACACGGCCAGCTGGTACACAACACACTATACCTCACAACACTGTTCACCACATTCGCACGACACCAGGTCCACCGGTGACTTCTTCACCCAGGCGTTTAGCACCAGACAAACTTAAAATTGCCAAACAAGAATTCGACTCCATGATCGCCAATGGTATAGCCCGCCCCTCCGCAAGCCCGTGGTCATCACCTCTTCACCTCACCCCTAAGAAGGATAACGGGTGGCGTCCGTGTGGAGACTATAGGATGCTCAATGCCCGGACCATTCCTGACAGGTGTCCAATCAGGCACATCCACGATTTTACCCATAGCATAACCGGATGCAAAGTGTTTAGTACCATTGACCTTGTAAAAGCATATAACCAAATACCTGTCAGTGAGAGCGACATCCCTAAGACCGCAATAACAACGCCGTTCGGGTTGTATGAGTTTCCCTTTATGGGCTACGGCCTCCGTAACGCAGGACAAACTTTTCAACGCTTCGTGGACGAGATGATCAGAGGATTAGAATTCTGCTACTCTTACCTTGACGACTTCCTGATCTTCTCACGAAACGAAGCGGAGCATGAGGAACACCTTCGCCAAGTGTTTAGCAGACTTAAAATCTACGGTATACTCATCAACACTTCCAAGTGTACTTTCGGCGAAAAGGAGGTAACATTTTTAGGGTCCCGTATCTCCGAAAACGGAATCAAACCTTTGGCTGATAAGGTCCAAACTATTTTAGATTTCCCTCAACCTAAGGAGGTGCGACAGCTAAGAAGGTTTTTGGGCATCATAAATTTTTATCGGCGTTTTTTGCCGAATGCTGCTCAAAAACAAGCTCCCCTTAACAACCTTCTGACAGGGGCTGTTAAAGGTAGGCAACCTATTAGTTTAAACGGTGAGGCAGCAAAAGCTTTTGAGGAGTGCAAGCGTAGTCTCGCGAATGCAACCTTGCTTGCCCACCCAGACTGCGAAGCTAAATTGGCACTCGTGACTGATGCATCTGACGTCGCCATAGGTGCCGTACTCCAGCAGCTCAAAGACGGAGTCTGGCAACCACTTGCCTTCTTTTTGAGGAAGTTGAGCTAAGTCAACAGAGATATTCCCCATATGATCGAGAGCTTTTAGCTATATACGAAGCTATTAAATATTTTCGTCATATGGTGGAAGCAAGGCACTTCACTATATATACTGACCATAAGCCGATCAGTTTCTCATTCCACAAAAGGAAGGACAACTGCTCGCCACGTCAGTATAGGCATTTAGATTTCATTGCCCAGTTCACCACCGATATTAGGCATATCTCCGGCAAAGACAATGTCGTTGCCGACACTTTAAGCCGCACCGAAGAACTGGAGGCACCTGTTGACCTGACTGCTATAGCTGAATCCCAAGCCTCCGACCTAGAGCTTGCTCAATTTATGAAGAGTGGATCATCATCCCTCCGCCTAGAACAGTTCAATATACCTGGAAGTCATACCAAATTGTACTGTGATATAAGTACGCCGACTTCCAGGCCATTTGTACCCGCTCCCCTTCGCAGGCAGGTTTTCAACAGCCTGCACTGCCTGAGCCACCTAGGTGCGAACGCTATCTGGCCCGGCATCAGGAAAGATTGCCGAGACTGGGCTAAATCTTGCCTCGCCTGTCAACGTACAAAGGTAACCCGACATGTGTCTTCTCCTTGGGGCACTTTCGCGTTGCCTCGTACGCGATTCAGGCAAATACACATCGACCTTATTGGTCCTCTCCCTCCGTCCAAGGGTTACCGATACTGCCTGACTGTTATCGACCGATTTACTAGATGGCCAGAAGTTGTGCCTTTAGTTGACATAACGGCGGAATCAGTTGCACAAGCTTTGCTGTTTCAATGGATTGCACGCTACGGTTGTCCTGAAGAAATTGTCACAGATCGCGGACGACAATTTGAGTCCGCATTGTTTCAATTTCTGTCTAGGATAGCCGGATTTAAGCACAAGCGTACCACAGCATATCATCCAGCTTGCAACGGAATTATTGAGCGTTTTCACCGTCAACTAAAGGCATCGATAATGTGCCACGCCGATAGCAGTTGGACTGAATCCCTACCGTGGGTTCTACTTGGTATCCGTAGTGCGTTTAAAGCGGACTTACAGACATCGTCCGCCGAATTAGTATACGGCGAGCCCCTCAGGCTACCGGGTGAATTCTTTGAACCCAGTTCAGATGGCCCACAGGACATCACTGAGTTCACTGCACGTTTGCGTAAAATCGCTAAAAATCTTCAGCCTGTACCAACATCACGCCATAGTACCGGCAAAACATTTGTTTTTAAGGATCTTGCCACTTGTGATTATGTTTTTCTTCGCGAAGATGCTTCACGAGGTTCTTTACAACCAGTATACACCGGTCCACATAAAGTACTGTCACGTGACAACAAAGTGTTTAAACTACTGTTTAAGGGTAAAGAAGTCAGTGTATCCATAGACCGACTGAAACCGGCCTACATACTCTCTGACAATCACTCTTCACAACACTCAACTACCACTCCCTCACCAGTATATACTGACATACCACGTACTACACGTTCAGGGCGCCGAGTAAATTTTCCGGATTTTTATCGCCCATAGAATGGTCTCGGGGGGGAGTGATGTAGGCACCTATTTATTTATTTATTTATTTACATGTCATTTATTTAATAACAATAATATTAACAGATCATTTATCTAATATATATTATTTATTAATATACGTGCCTTTAGAACTCTGGAACCGTAAGTGTTTCTTTCAGACGTCCACAATTTGTTCAAAATAAAAAAATACTCTTTCTACCGGAGCATTCGTACCAGGTAGACATAAAATATATTCGATTAAAAAAAATTATGTTGAAGATTGTTGACTTTGAATACTTCCATCCAACGAGTTACGGGACAATTTTGTGTCCCGGAGCTTTGTTTGGGGACAATGGGACAGGTGACCGAGAAAAGGGACAGTCCCCTTCAAAACGGGACGTATGGTCACTTTAGCTACAACCCGGCGACGGCTCCGTGGCACAATGGCTTAGCAACCAGTTGTTGCGCTAGGGACCGCGGGTTCGAATCTCATCATCATCATCATCTGAGGCATTACAGCCGCGGGTGGGCCTTAGCCTGGTCCAGCAAAGCTCTCCAGTCCGATCTGTTAGAGGCTTTCCTTCTCCAACTTGTTATTCCCAAGATCTTGATATCTTGTTCGACGCCGTCCAACCATCTGAGCTTGGGCCTGCCTCGACTTCTGCGGCCCTCCGGTCAGCCTTCTAAAAGGCGTTTGGGTACTCTGGCCTCGTCCATTCGCAACACGTGTCCTGCCCAACGCAGGCGTCCGATCTTTATGGTCTTAATTACGTTTGGCTCATCGTACATTTGGTATAGCTCGTGATTATAACGCGTTCGCCATCTCTCATTTTCCATCACAGCTCCGAAAATGCGTCTTAGTATTTTCCGCTCAAATACCAACAAGGAGTTTTCGTCTTTTTTGCTTAGCACCCAACATTCGGAACCGTAGGTGAGTATAGGTCTTAGTAAGGTTTCGTACAAGAGAAGTTTTATGCTTCTTGAAAGAAGTTTCGAACGTAAGTATCTTAGTAGTCCGAAGTAGCACTTGTTAGCCGCCATTATTCTCCTACTTATTTCTGAAGACACATCGTTGTTATCGGTTACTAAGGATCCCAGGTATACGTGATCATTGACGCTAGCGAAGGTGTTGTTGCCAATATTAACTCCTTGTAGTAGAATTTGCTGGTCTTTTGACGCTTTCAGGTACTTAGTCTTAGCCATGTTAACTTGGAGACCAGCCTCCGCAGCTGATTTTTCAAGAGCAAGGTATGCACTCTCCATTGCAGGTAGAGATCTTCCTATCACGTCGAGGTCATCCGCATATCCTAGGATTTGAACAGATTTGTGATAGATAGTGCCTTTGGTCTCGATCTTTGAGTCGCGAATACACTTGTCGAGAGCGATGTTGAACAGTAGGCACGAGAGCGCATCCCCTTGTCTTAAGCCGTCATTGGTTCTGAAGGGCTCTGATACATTTGTTTGAACTCTATCAACGCTTTGAGAGTTTCTAAGAGTCATCTCCGTCAGGCGCACGAGCTTTGTTGGGATGCCAATCTCCATCATAGCCTGGTACAGGAAACTTCTGTGCACATTGTCATAGGCAGCCTTAAAGTCTACGAAAAGGTGGTGAGTATTCACGTTGTACTCAAACGTTTTTTCAAGTATCTGCCTAAGCGAGAAGATTTGGTCTACTGTGGACCTGTTTGGACGGAACCCACACTGATACTCTCCCAAGCTGGATTCTACATATGGCTTTAGTTTATTAAAAAGCATATTGGCAAAAACTTTATAACCGGTGTTCAAGAGAGATATGCCTCGGTAATTATTGCAATCCAATATGTCGCCTTTCTTATGTAGGGGACAGATAACAGATGTATTCCAATCATCAGCCATTTTTTCATTGTTCCAAATTTGGAGCACCAGGTGGTGAAACTCTTTCTCGAAACCAGTTCCGGCATACTTTATAAGTTCGCCTTGGATATCGTCCATTCCCGGAGATTTGTTATTTTTGATGGATTGAATGGCTCTTTTAGTATCTTCTATAGTGGGGTACAAAGATTCATCAGTCTGTTGATTCTTTAGTAGAGCTTGAGGTACTGGTACAGAAAGTGGACGAGTCTGCACTGAACTGTTAAGGAGTTCACGAAAGTATTCAGCCCATCTTTGAACGATCTCATCTTTATCATTAAGTAGCTGTCCATTCTTACTTCTACACGCCGTGGTTCTGGGTTTGAATTCTTTCCGTCCCCCATTTACTTGGTTGTAGAAGTTTCTAGTTTCCTTTTGTGTGTAACTAGATGCAATCTCACGCAGTTGTTGTTCTTCGTACGATCTTTTCTTTCTCTTATGTAGGTGTTTTTCTCGTCTTCTTCGCTTCTTATACTCTTCTCCACGCCCGCGAGTGTACTTCTGTTGCATTAATCTGTACGCATCATTTTTCTCATTAGTGATCTTCTGACATTCATCATCAAACCAGTCGTTACGCTTCGGTTTTTCCTCAAATCCCAAAATCTCACTAGCAGCCGTAGATAAAACTCCTTTAAGATTCCGCCAGGTGCTATCAGGATCGCCAATGCTGTTGCTATTTCTTTCGCCCACTTTCATAAGTTCTCTGTGAACTGTGTCCATATATTTGTATTTGACATCCTGCTCTCTCTTCAGCCTTGTTGTTTCAATCTTTTTTGTTCTTACCGTTTTGGTGTACTTGTACCGTGATATTCGTGCTCTTATTTTGCATACAACAAGATGGTGATCCGAGTCGATGTTTGCTCCTCTACGGCTTCTGACGTCCAGAAGATTAGAGCAGTGTCTCCCGTCTATCAAAATATGGTCTATTTGGTTTCGGGTGACGTTATCCGCGGAGACCCACGTTATTTTATGGATATTCTTGTGTGGAAAGCGTGTGCTGCCGACGACCATTCCTAGGGAAGTTGCCAAATCAATGAGACGTGTGCCATTGTCGTTAGATGTTTTGTGTAGGCTGTGGGAGCCTATCGTTGGTCGGTATATACTTTCTCTTCCCACCTTTGCATTCATATCCCCAATTATAATTTTGATGTCACCTTTGGGAGAATTGGAATACACGCTTTCCACATCGGAATACCATCTTTCCTTCTCTTCGAGGTCAGTATCTTCCGTCGGAGCGTGTACATTAATGATTGTGTAATTTTGAAATTTACCTTTAAGTCTGATTTTACACATACATTCATTAATTGGTTGGAAATCAATTACAAGATGTTTTAGGCGTTTGCTCACGACGAAACCTGTTCCAAAGGTATGATGCTTTTCATTACAACTATAGTATATGGCGAAATCTGGTTTATCAATAACGCCATGTCCCAACCATCTAAGTTCCTGAACCGCTGTTATATCAGCTCTGTGATTTGCAAGTTGTTGACATAAAAGTTGAAGGCCCGCTGGTCTGTACAGTGTTCTTAAGTTCCATGTACATAAGGTAAATTCGTTAGCCATTATTGAGTAGCCAGGTCGTTGGTTTAAAATCCGGTCCGTAAGTTTTGCTTTTCCTTTCATAATCGTTTGTGTTCAGACGAGTGGGTGATTAACCCCCTGCGTCTTAGGCCTTTAGTGGGGCTGCCACTTTTGAGCTCAAGACCTAGCTCCGTTTATTTTCAGGTATCGTCCCTTCCGAGTTGAAACCAGTTTTAAGGCGCCGGTTGCTCGCCTTCGCCCTTTGTCCTTAGCATCTGCGCTCTGAGAAAGGGATGGTGATCGTACTTAGAGTACGGGCGCAGAAGGTCCCAGGGGGTACGACGAGGACGTGGACAGATCGGACTGGTTGGTACCTGCATACTTGTGCTCCACCATCAGAGCACTGCAGTCAGAAGACGGGCTTTTTATAGAAGTCACTAAGCTCGGGTCTTAGCGACCCCACCCATACCCAATACCAACTTCACCCCCCGGGTTCGAATCTCGCACGGAACAAATATGTATGGCCTACAAATAATTGTTCCGGGTCTGGATGTTTGTCCTTGTGCAATTAATGTTAGTAAACTGCCTCCACGACACAGGAGAAAATCCTAGTGTGGGGGTAACGTTTTTTTACAATTGAAATTAAAAGATTGAACCCTTATACTTCTTGTTGATTTTTGTATTACCTTTATTAAAGTTACCCTTATGTATAAATAAATATAATTACGTATGTAGAAATAAAATTGATTTTCATCCTCATCAATCATTGGGGCGAGGATAATGTCTGCCAGCATAAGTAATAAGCAGGCTAAGTTACAAGGTGCTCAGTTCAAAAATTTGTAGGTAGGATATGTTACTTTTCAATACGTGACACGTAAAAATTAACCATAATCAAAAACACATCTACGAAACATCCTATTTATTTATTTATTCTTTATTGCACCAAATATTTGTACAAAAGGCGAGCTATCTATTTATTTACCTATAGTGAATAGGTATCTTTTAAACTCACAATTTTCAATGCTTCATTTTTAATATATAATTAATTATAAAATTTCATTATTAGATAATATATGAAAATACATAATTCTAATATAATGCAACTAATATACCGAATAAAAAAATTAAAATACATTTATCGTTGTACGCTGTGTGTATTTCCATAAATTAGTTTATTGATGTTGAAAAAATAATACTACGTAATAGGTGGCGTCTTACATATTTCAAATAAGCAATATATTGAAGCGAGCGGCGCGCCGCCGGCATATGCTCAAGGTCGTTCGCATGGAGTAGCCCCTTAAGAAATTTCCGTACTCTGCCGGAATCGAAGTCGTTGATTATCTCTAAACAACCTGCTGCAGTGACAGTACGTTCTACTAGGGCCTAAAAATTAAGATTCCAAAGTTTTTTCGCGTGAAATCGTATCTAGCAATCATATCATACATATAAATGATATAAAAAGCACATTGTCAGAAAGATAAATGACTGTTGAACTTACAAATATTTTTTTAAATCGATTAATTGCTATTTTTACATTAAAAAACACGTTTTAGTGGTTATTGGTGTATATTATCTTCGTAAACATGACAACTTTCGAAAATATCAATTGTTCAACTCAGTCTATTTTTAAAACTCTTCATCTATCATGTGGGAAGTCCTCATCTATCTGTCTGCGCCTAAGCAGACAGACACCTTATTTTGAGAATTACATCACCATCAGAGCACTTATTTTACCGTTTCCACTAATAGTTCAGATGCGCAGACACTTAATACACAAAATCGCACCAATTTTACATATCAAAATCCACTTGAAACCATTATTTAAACAATAATACAGGAGCAGCAAACTGCCGCCGGTCAAGTTCCCGCCAAAACTCATTTATATAAAATATATACGTCTTGGACTTAATAGATCTAGAAGAATACCTATCTGTAACTGGAACTCCTCGACGAGGAGAACTAGATGTGCCGAGTCTGGCCTCGTATTGTTAGTTATGATGAGACCTTACCTCCGGACTTAATTGAGTGACTTGAAAGTGTACTTCGGTGACTGCTACTGGAACACTTTGACAAGCAGAACTACATGTGCCGAGTTTGGGCTCGTTTTGTTAGTTATGATGAGACCTTACATCTGGACTTGATAGAGTGACTTGAAAGTGTACTTTGATGACTTTTACTGAAACTCCTCGACGAGGAGAACTAGATGTGCTGAGTTTGGCCTCGTTTTATTAGTTATGATGAGACCTTACCCCTGAACTTGATAAAGTGACTTGAAAGTGTACTTTGATGACTGCTACTGAATCTCCTCAGTGAGGAGAACTGATTGTGTCGAGTTTGGCCTCGTTTTGTTAGTTATGATGAAACCTTACCTCCGACCTTGATAGAGGGACTTGAAAGTGTACTTTGATGACTGCTACTGAATCTCCTCAGGGAGGGGAACTAGATGTGCCGAGTTTGGCCTCGTTTTGTTAGTTATGATGAGACCTTGCCTCCGAACTTGATAGAGTGACTTAAAAGTGTACTTTGATGACTTTTACCGGAACTCCTCGACGAGGAGAACTAGATGTGCCGAGTTTGGGCTCATTTTGTTGGTTATGATGAGACCTTTCCCCCAAGACTCGACAGAGTGACTAGAAATTGTACTTTGATGACTGTTACTTGAACTCCTCGACGAGGAGAACTAGATGTGCCGAGTTTGGTCTCGTTTTGTTAATTATGATGAGACCTTACCTCCGGACTTGGTACAGTGACTTGAAAGTGTACTTCAGTTGCTGCTACTGGAACTCTTTAACAAATAGAACTACAATTTATATTTTTTTAAATTTTTTCACGTTCATATGAGCATTATAACTCGTGCATTTTTGGATTTTCCAAGCTTTTTTTACATTAAAATTTGACATAATATTATCGCAAAATTTGAAGTGTAGTAATAATTATAGGGTTTTCACTGAAAGCTTGTGTGTAATTAAACTACTTTTAAAAAATTCCGTATAATCATGTTATACGTAATTTTTTTTAATACGCCTAAGGCATGCTCAATTGGATTTACCAATATTTTATCTCTATTGGTATCACAGTTATCAAATTTATACGTGGTTTTAGTAAAAATTTTCTTACGCTGTAAATTTTTGATCTCCTGGGTCAGCCAGGAAGCAGGCAAATGCTTTATCCGGACCGGCCGAATTTGAGCATGAACGTCGTTGAGTTGTATTAAAAGAGAATTAAAGCTATCAACCAACAATGGTCACTGAATAATAGCGGCATTATCATCACAATCATCATTAATACGATATAATTAACAGTTTAGAAACTAATCTTAATAGTTACTTAATATTTATAATAATTTATAAAGTAATAAGATAAAATAGTGCATTAAAGTCGGCCTGTTCTCACCATCCCATTTAGTAAACTTAACTTGAAAACAACACCATCATCATCCTTATCATTACTGCCTATAAAAAATCCACCTCTGAACATAGGCCCCTCACAAAGATTGATAAAAGAGGGGTTTTTGCCATAGTCGCCACTCTGGACAGGTGGACTGGCAATCTAAGTTTCTTATTATGTTAAGTTGTTACATTTTCTGTTTCAGTTTCATTAAATCGCCTCTCACGATACCACGGGATAATATGGGTATCAGATATTCTTACGGGACTGGTGGACAAAAAATATACTGTGCACCGGAGCCGTATATACGAAACTTTATATATCTAGGAAAACACTTAATAATTTTGCCGAATCATTTTTCAGACGTGTTCGATAACTTCTTGCCTACTTGTTGTGCTGATCAGCAATATATTACCGTTTTGTCTACTTAATCTTTTTTTTGCATTTCACTTTCATAACTATAACGGTTCGATTTTTAAAATGCACAGTCATCTTTAATGATATCTTAATAAATGTTATAGTATTAAGCTTCAAATAATTGTCACACGCAGAACACCAGCGTAAAATAGGAGTTTAATGCTGCTTTGTTTCGTATGGTGAGTGTAGAGAACCGGAGACTCTTTTTACTGGAAACGAGGCAGTCCATCTTAGTCCTCAAGGGTGACAACGCATCTGCATTTTGATTCGTAATCGAGGATAAATGTAGATGTCTATGTGCCACAGCAACCACTTACCATCAGGTGGACTGTGTGCTCGTTTGTCACCCTTATCCTACAAAAAAAATGTTTAGAAGACAATGTCATATGCGCAACAAAAAAGAAAAGAAAAAATTAAATATCGGACCTAAAGACGTAGTGATAAATTTAAAATTTGATGTAATGAGCCGAAGCCTTCTTAATAAACATGACCAATTTAAATTAGGGTACCTACTTAAACATCCATTTTACTGTAATATACACTTAACTTATTTATTATAATACAGGTGTCCCTCAAGGTGGCGTGCTCGCACCTTTACTATTTCTGATTTATATTAATGATCTCCTCAGTGTTACTTCACAAAAGCTATATTATTTGCAGATGACACAACTGTACTAATTAAAAATAAATATAAAAATTCATACCAAACTATAGTAAATGAAACTCTCTCTGTAGTTATTGACTGGTTACACAAAAACAACTTACAAATAAACAAAAAAAAAACAAAGATTATACAATATTGTTCTTACAATTCTAACGCCCCATCACTTACAGTAAAATATAACGACTCCAAAATTGATATAGTTGACAGTTACAAATTCCTAGGAATAACCATTGACAAACATTTAAATTGGAAGGTACATATTACATATTGACGTCGTTTTCAATAAATTGGAACGTTACGTGCATTAAAATGCTTGAGGGAAACGCTGTCTACAGAGGCCGCCCTAGTCGCTTATCACGGGTACATGTCCTCGATGCTCAGCTATGGCATCTTAATCTGGGGATTCTCGTTTGAATCTCAAAGAGCATTTATTCTCCAAGAAAAGTGCATTAGATCCATCGCTAATGTATATCTTTAGATAGTTGCAAACCATTATTTTAAAAATATAAATTTCTTTCCTTACCATGCATACATAGTTTCTGTCTTTTTTATCATTGACCTTGGATAACTTACGATGTAGACAGGAAATTTTATAAGACTTTTGAGAAAACTTTTAGACCGCCATAATGAAGGTATCTACGAAAATTGTGGTTTGTGGTTTAAGAAATTTATTCTCATTAAGAATACAAAATTCACTTATCATGAGAACATAAAAACTTATAAGTTATAACAATATCTGGGGAAACGCAGAGGTAGGGGGTACATTAAGAAAACAGTCACAGTTTAAAACAGTCAGCGTCGGACATAGTTGCAATCACAGATATGAAGTTGAACTACGCTCACCAAGTTACGAGAAGTGGCTTGAGATACATATTTAGTAATATTTTATTCTAATAGTAATGAACAATAAAAAGTTTTTAATAATAATAATATTTTAATTTAATAGTAAGACCATCATTTTATAGATTTTATAATATGATATTTTAGTAATTTCTTGAAGCTTATATTTGACTGCGATTCCTTAATGTCTTTAGGAAGTTTATTATATAATTGTGCCCCTTCAAACATTAGGTTCCTCTTACCGTAACTAGTTCTTAAAATTAAACTTATTATCTCTCATTCCGAGTTTGACCCCTTTTTTATGCTAAAGTAACTGGACTATAACCATATTGCACTTATACGATAATATAAGTAGCCGTATATCAAGAAAACACTCTACTTAATTCATCTAATCATCTAATTTTCTAAAATATCATTTTATATTGAAAATTTGAAAAAAAAACGGTTGGAGAAAAATTTTACGTTGACGTCCAGATGTTGATTTTGTATGTGGTTACGATAACTCCTGAAAAAATTGTCGTATCGAGACCGGGTTTTTATTATTAGCTTCTGAATAATATGAACTGGTTCCCTAATTCATATAAATAGCCTAGTACATGCACTTTTATAAGTTTATTGTTATTAAAAATTTAAAAGCGCTCTCATATTTTGTTTAGTCCTTTATAGACAAAGGACAAAATGTAACATACAGCCTATATCGATTTTATACTTTGTGTAATCGATTTATTATGGTAAACAACATTATGTTTTTCCCTGTAAGTGAAACTACCTGTTAAAATATTAGAGCGCTAAAATTAAAACACGTAAATAACATATTTTAAGTCAGAAATACAATTAATTTATTTTCTTAAAATAAATAAAGACTCAGGCGACTGAGGCGTGAACTTTTGGATTTTCCAAGCTAGTTTTTCAAACTGCATTATGCTCTCCATACGCACCACTTAATTTAGAACTGCGATAAAAAAATTATTTGCCCAAACTAGGGACTTTTTCTTTGTTCCTTTAATCATATACCCCATTTATATATTTTATTACAATAGTTACTACTCTTGGCGGGCGAGTCGATAACCGCAGTTTTTTTTATAATTTTCCTGTTATCAGAGGCAATATATGTTGCCTCTCACGACACCCACGAGTAGTGTAGTTGTACCACTTCTAGACCACCTGAGTCAGACGTGGTTCAACGACGTTCGTCGACGCCCGATCCTAAAAAAAAAAAAAAAAAGGTTTTGGCATGCTCTGATCACGAATCCGCGGTCCATTTTTGTGTAGCATGCACGGTTCCGGAGATGTGTAGATCAATTAGCTAATATCTAATTGATAACCGGTAAGGGCCTCCACCGTCATTAGCGTCCCATTGTTCCTATTTCTATTGTTCTATTGTTCCTTAATCACCTTCATTGCAGCGTGTGCGTCGACTATATCAGTGCTATTGTATTATAATTCTTTGTTTATACAACGCTAATCTGAATCATCAATAAAACACATTACATAATTTTGTTACAATTTTTATTTATAAAATACAAAATCTTATTAATTATTATCTATAAAATAGGAGCGAAACATCTCATCCACTAAAATATCGTTGTACAATGTGTTCCTTGTAAATATACTCGTAAAACTATGTATTGAACATCCTTGAAACTTATATAGTAAATACATTAAGCAATATTCGCCACAAACTGAAGTCCACTCATTCTGAATCCTATCAACATTCCAGTTCCATCTTTTACAATTCCTTTTTAAAAACTCTATATGATATCGTACAGGTGATCGTCCATATGAATCAAAATATTGACCGACGTCATTCGTATCGATATATAAAGCTACCCAATGTGACCCTGGTTTATCATCTGTATCCAAATTACATATTATATACGTTGGTACGTGGGTATACATAGGCAGTCTATTAGCTGCATAAACATTATTTTCTAGACTGGGGTGAATCTTTTTCAGATGTTGTTGTACATCTAGTGTATCCATGATATTACTGCTATTAGTAGATTATTACAGTACCTAGCTACTCAATGAATAACATAGGAATGGTCAATTATAGTGATTTCTACATATTAAATTGCATTTTTGTGTTATACAAATCGTACTTGAGTCATTGATCACCAAACAAAACACAATACGAAGAAATGTTGAGATAGGCAACGGAAATGTGAGATAAACTGATATGTTTCTAAATATTAAATTGCATTTTTGTGTTATACAAATCGTACTTGAGTCATTGATTACCAAACAAAACACAATACGAAGAAATTTTGAGATAGGCAACGGAAATGTGAGATAAACTGGTTGACGCATAAAGTAATTATCAACTCATTACGGAAATACTTTAGATTAGAATTTTTACGTACTGGTGGTATATAAGACCAACAAACGCAGTCATCGAGTTAGTGTACGGTCGTTTGGCTACAGTGGATCTATCAATAGTACATTTGTGTTACTTCAATACACCAAAGGCTATGGATGTAAGTGTTTATTCTATTGACTAAATTACTTTTTTTCTGTTATTTTCATGTGTGTGTATTATTTTATTTAAATATTGTGTATGTATATGATTAAGCCGTGGTAACTCAGATGGTTAGCGCTAGCTGTAAATTTCACAGTACGCGACCCGGGTTCGATCCCCGCCAGCACCAATTAAATTGTTAATAGCAATTTTAAGTGCTTATTACCACGTGCTTGGTGGTGAAGGAAAACATCGTGAGGAAACCTGCATGTCTGAGAAAATTTCGAAGGCATGTGAAGTTCGCCAACACACATTGAGGGAGCGCGGCGGACATTTCCTTGCTCTAAAACCCTCTCAGAAATGAGAGGAGGCCTATGTTCAGCAGTGGACTTTAGTAGGCTGTAACTTTAACTTTTTTAACTTTTATGATTAAGTGTTAACAAATTGATATTAACATGATAACTGTGTTGTTGCAGAAATCATTGAGCTTCGATGAAGATACCTATAAACAGTATTACTACTCGCCACTCTCCCCTCAAGAAGAGAGTGATAACCTCGTCATTAATAATAACACATGCGATGGTGGAAAAAGAAAATCGCAATCGATTGATCATTTTTTTGAAGCTGAATCAAAAATAAAAAAGAGGAAGCTGTTATCATCAACCGTAGCACGAGCCGATAGAGATGGTGTATCATACATTTCTACTAATTCTGACGACGGAGACCAAGCGACGCATCTCATCAAAATTGAAATGTACGATATGAAGAAGCTATCCAAGATTCCAACTACTGATCATTGGAAACATGCTTCCACGAGAATTAAATATTACGTAAAGACTAATAAGGATAGCATCTACGACAATACAAACGCCCTCGTATACAATATAACAAAGACAATAGCAGAAAGTGAAAAAGTTAAAAAATACTTTTTTAACAATGACAGTCATTAGCTGATCATTAGTGAATGTGATTCTGTTTACTTCAATTACAGGAAGACAAGAGCGGAAGGAAGAGATGAGTGTGGCATACGTGTACAAAACACATCATTGAATAACAAAACTACAACACTGAGTGGAGAAGAAAACGAGAAGAGTATGCAGTACTCAAGAGCTGAATATCCATTCTTCAGTTCAAAATCTAGCCGTTTGCTTAGTTTCGAAAACTGGCCTCTAGTTATGCGACAGAAACCTGAAGATCTTGCCGAAGCTGGTTTCTTTTATACTGGCCATGCAGACGGGACCAAGTGTTTCCATTGTGGTGGTGGTTTAAAAGATTGGGAAGATGATGATAATCCTTGGCAGCAGCATGTTCAGTGGTTTAGTCAGTGTGCTTATGTAAAATTTCAACTCGAACAGTGTTTTGTATTAGATTAAATAGAAGATTTATAAAGAAATAAAAAAAATATATTGCATACAATTTGTTTTATTTAATTTTATAACGTTTCACATAGTTACATACACACAAAATGCATTACACATAACACATAAAATCTAACACACAACACATATTATAACCTTAACTACTATAGTCTACAGTAACATTTCTGTTTTTATCTATCTCAATAATATTATCAAACTCAGCATAAACTATACAGTTAATTGTTTGTATTAATGAGGATTCAAATCGTACTTCTATTCTTACACTACCATGCTTTATGAGATTCCAATGAGTTGATGAGTTAGCTGATAAATCAGGAGTTAAGTCAAATGCTAATAGACAGTAACCTTTGCCATACTGTTCACAAGAGATTCCATTTCCTTCATTAAGAAAGTGAATACCAGTTCCCGAGAATAGAGTATGATATGCTGATGTAAATATGCTATTATTAAAAGATGGTTGCAAAGCTTTTGAAGGTATTTGTTGACCATCAATATATAAGCTGAAAGAATTAATACCATAGTTTTCAAAGTTAAATGGATTTTTAGTAAGGGAACCATTAAATGCAGAATTGTTCTCAAATCCAATTATACATCTTTTCGGTACCTGTCCTAAAAATATATTATCAAGAGTTTTTCCTTGAACACCTGAAGGAATTGTTAAAACTTTTACTTCAGCTCGAGTAATAGGATATTTAGCAGTGGTAGAAGCTAAAACTTTTTGATGTGCGAGTAATACACTTGGATTAATTCGTGCTCGTCGCACAATAAGAGTTGCGTCCGTAATGCAAACTTTAAACTTTACATCGTTCGACCCAACAATTAAATTAAAACTCTCTCTTGATCGAACCAATTTAACACTCATTTCAACACCATTAATTAAAAATTTATCTTGGTTAAAAATGTCACCGTGAAGATGACCAATCATTTCTATTTCCTTACTTTCACTAATCAATTCCTGTCTTTTAACAAATCCTATGTTTTTACCATCTGTAGAATCCATTTTTCCTGCTGTATCCTCATACCAAAGACTACAAGTAAGATGAGATTGTTTAGCAGCAGGGGCATAGTTTAAAAGGGTTTCCATGTATGCTCGATATGCATAGGTATTATTAGGTGGTGATACAAGTTTTTGGTTTAAATAAACATCAAGTTGACTAAAAAGTGAATGCAGCCAATTATTTACAGGTGCTACTATTGTAGTAGATACCAAGTTAGTTGAATCTTGATTTAATACTTTTGCCTTTATGTGGAGTAATGTATGAGACAAATCTATGTAGTCATCGCCGGTCCCAGGAACTTGAAACTCGATAGGTCCATCATCACCAAGAGATGAAATTGGTTTATAATGAATCCACAATCCATTTTCAATGCTAGTTTGTGTAGACGGTAGTGCAAACAAATCCAATTCTGACTTAACGCACTCGCAAGAATGATTATGAAGGAAAGACATATTTAGTTTGAAAATATATCTTTGATATTTTTTGGTTTTAGACTAAGTTTTTTCGCAGCTTTCACTTTAGCAGTTAATGGTGGAATGAACGATGTCAATCGTTTTCTTTTAGTTTTATACCCAGATCCAGTCATGTTAAATTGATCAATTTTCTCATCAGCCTTTCGTTTTAAATTCGTACTAACTTGCTTTAGACGATCTTTTATTGAGGCTTCCATAGGACGGGCTTGAACCATATCCGATAAAAGTCCTACTCCAGCGCTTAATGCCTCCTTACCAATCACTCGAGCACCACTTGAAAGTAAAGGTAAAACTGATCTGAATAACCCCCTTAAGAAGCTCCCAATACCATGACCGCGTTGATATGGTGAACCCTTATAAATTACTCAAACTCCTGATCCAGCTTGATGTGTATAATAATTTTCATATGGACATTTATGATGATCACGAAGAGAATTCATTATTATAATTTTCGGAAATGTAGTTTAATACACACGGTTCTAAACTGGAATGGTATTTTTTGTCCTGTACTCGATCTTATAACTATTTCCAACGTATCGAACTCTCTTCGCATAACAGGTAAGTAGTGAGGTTGAGAGAAAACGTGCATTTTATTTGCACCATAAATGTATTTTGTAGGATCTAATGAAATGACTCTTAATATATAACATCACCCACAATCTGAGGATCGATAATATCGCAATATAGAAATAGTTGAGATGGTAACCCTAAGTGTAAATTAGCAGGACACTTTCCAAAATTTCTCTCTAGGAGATTTTTATTTGGTTCATAACCTAGCTGTAAACTTAATTTGGGTGATAATGTTACGGATGTTATATTTTTATCCAATACCGAAATAGACACAAATTTTGTTATTTCATCCGATACCATTTAACACTCTTAAAATATGCTCAACGTTATCATAGTTGGTAGCTGGAATATGTTTTTTGTAGTACACTGTGGATGGCTTATCTTCATAAGGCATTAACATAGATTTTGTAATGTATATAACATTTTCATGGTCTTGAACAGTAAACATGGTACATGGATATTGAAACTCGACAACTCCAACCGACCATTCACCTTCTAATTTTATAGCTTTTGGTAATTTCGTTGAAAAATTTGTGGTCTTGTTAACAGGAAAGTATTCCATTGAACTATTGCTGAGCAAAGTTAAATAGAAACTTTCTTTATTCATATTTCTTTTAAACTAGAAGCTAAAATCCAACTGTTAAATTTATCTGGATAACCTTTCCACTTCACTAATACTTCTTTTCTGTTACCTGAATAACGAGTGTCAATTATTTTATCTATTTTATGTTGTGAGGTGGGGTCGTAAGTGATTTTCTGTAATTCTCTTTCATAAAAAGTACCAATTATTGGTTCATTTTGTAAATCTGTTATTGTATAAACAACCCATGGAGATCTATCAATTATTGAAGATATAATAAATATTTCATCACTCCAATTTGATTCATATCCTTTTTGGAATACATGTTTATATTTAGTTATTCGAACATAATCACCCACATTGAAATTTGGTTTAGGATTTTCTAAAGAAAGTTTTTTTGACCATCTGTCATAAAGATTAGTCCAAACTGTCATAATATTGTTGGAATTTACATCACATGGGCACATCTTAATACTAGAGTGAAAGCTGTGATTATAAGAGTATATTAAATCTTGTAAAACATCTATATATCTATAAGTATTATTATGAGTGAAATAACGCCACATTTTCATTTTTAGTGTTCTTTGAAATCGTTCAACAATACTGGCCTTAATGTCAGGATTGTTAGTGGTATAGTAATTAATCTTTTTGGATTTAAAGTATTTTTGTACATCTTTTGAAACAAATTCGGTACCTTTATCGGATTGTATGTGAGTAGGTGTTAAATTACTTTCAGTAAATATACTTTCAAAACATTCTTTAGTTGTTTCTGAGTTTTTCTTTTTCATTGGTCTTGCAAAAGCATATTTACTAAATACATCAATAATACAAAGTATATACTTGAAACCATCATTATATTGAGAATAAGTTCGCATATCACTTAAATCAGCTTGCCACAGTTCATTAATATTTGATAGAATGTACCTATTACGCGGGAATTTTTTTCGAATGGGTTTATGTAATGTGTATGTTTCTTGTGATTTTAACCATTCCTTTACTTGCTTTTTATTCATTTTACCCTTCATGGCTTTTGATAATTTATCAATACTACGAAAACCAGCGGGATTAGATGGATCATAATAAATCCTGTTAATTTCTTCTAGTACGGAGTCCATTTTTCCCACTCAAGTCCTTTACGTATTTTAGTTGTAGACTTTTTATCTCTACTGCACGGTGTAGAAAACTCTTGAACTTCAATCTCAGAGGGTTTGTTCAGATCTTTTGCTTGAAGTTGGTTAATAAACTCATATCTCCTTGGATTTCCAATATAAGTAAGTGGTACTTTAATATATTTTAATGCTTCAGCAAATCTAACCCACCCTACCGGATCACTTCTTTTTAGGGGTCTTAGTGAATCATTTATTAAATCAACAATATTACTTCCAGGAATTTTTTCACTATCAATTATGACTGTACCTTCGTTATCCCAATGTATTTTACTTTTACTTGTTTCAACTAAGTTTAATAATAACTGCCCTTTTTTATGATAAGTTTTTGGTATTAAACTGAGTATTTGAGCTGGTGTGTAAAGTGGATTTTCATCATTTTCTTTACTTTTAATGGATCGATTCTCCTCCAGCAAAGATTCAATATCAACTGAAGTTTTTAGATCTCTATCTTTATTTTTAAAACCAATTTTTGACTCATTTGAATCTTCATTAGATGTATCAGAATAAATTGGTAATTTGAGTGGTTGACGATCCTCTTCGGTAAAATGAAGGTATCTTTGCAGTGTTTGTAAATATAATATCCATTTCTTTCGGTCTTCCGTCTTACTATTCATAATATTTTGCATTTCAATATCTAATCGAGATAAATTACTATTAACCTTATTTTCTTGTTTTAATTTTTCAATCAATCCAGGTTCGATAAGTATCATTTTCTTTGCATTTTCCATGTTAACTGGCTAGTCCACTCACTAATCCACTCAATATTGCACCTAATATTGTTGGTAAGAAAGCCCCTCCTTTTTGTATAATTATATTTTTTCTTAGTTTATGTTTACACTTACGTACTAGTTTACGGAGTATGTTTTTATGTTTATTCAATTTTTGTTTATCCTGATCTTTAAGAGGTACTTTTCCTTGTAAAACGTTATGAATACACTCACAAATACAGTTAATTTCTTCTTCATCACACGTTTTAAGTAATGCTCTTTGATATTTTGGTTTAAGCGTATGCAAAGCGGTTAGCAAATGTTTATACGTTGTGAGTCGACGATGCATCATTTAGCAATGATTTCAATTGTTTGATTCTTGGTGTATTTAAACTCTTTTGTGGGGACGTAGACTGTACAGAAACCATTAAATGGAAAGACATTTGTCTTGATACGACAAAAATCATTGGTATTCTGTTTTAAATCTACCATTAAATATCCATGTGCCTCTAGAGTTGCATCCCTGTAGGCATTTTCAATGAATTTTGGGTTATCTGGTGATACTTGTCTTGCTAAATATCTTATTTGAGTTTTATCTCGAGGGTTTTTAAAATATATTATATAACTTGAGTTTAAAGATATGTCTCTTTGTCCTTTACCCTGATGAAATAAATTTTGTGTTAGATAAAATACACTAAGATTCCTGTGATGACTACCTTTTGTAAATATATCCACAATTCTTCCATCGGACTCTCTCATTAGATCATCAATAATAACAAGATGTGGGTTTTCACCATCAAACATATTAAGATTTGGAATTCCTTGATGATAGTTAACATTTGGTAAATTATATAATGGTTGCATTTCATCAAAGCACCATGTGATCTGATTAAAATCACAATTACATATTTCTGTAACTGATTTTATGAAATTTGTTACAAAATTTGACTTCCCACACCCACTTGGTCCTGCCACAATAGCAGTGAACGGATGGATAAAGTGAAACATAACACACGTCTAAAGTTCAAAGGGGTGAAATAAAAAATGAAAGTGTTGGTGTAAACAATTAATATATATTCCAAAAATTATATCTGTATACTATTTCTAACACAATTAGTACATCATAATTTTACAATTAACTCAACCTCAAATAAATAGAAACAACAATTAGTACATCATAATTTTACAATTAACTCAACCTCAAATAAATAGAAACAACAATTAACTTAAATTATTTACAATAAAACAATGTTTAAATATGTAATAAACTACGTCATATTATAGTATTATCATAATTTTACAATCAATATAAATTTTTCTTAAACGCAGACATAAAAGTAAAAACTATCAACACTTAACGCAGTTTATAATGACCCCAAGCTAATGTTTCAATATTATTATCTAAAATATGTCTCTTTGTGTCATTATATGATAAACCTATCTTATTTAATTTTTGTGTGAAAATTGTGTGTTTAATTGATTTAAATCTAAGCATACTATAATATTGCACTTTTTTATTAAATAGAGAAGACTTATAACTATTCATTGTCATCTTTTTAGTGATACATTTATTTACCCCTTTTGCCTTGGCTATAGTCTTATTCTCTAAGTTAAAAGCGTACATTTTGGATCGTAAACCCACAAATTCTTTCATGATTTTACCATTATTTTCATCTTTAAAAAAACTTAATTTCTTTTTATTTAATTTTGGATATTCAAAAATATTATTTGTATCATAATCTGAGGTATCAAAGTATGATGAAAGGTCAGGTTTTATATCAGTGTAAAAATCATTTGTAAATATATGATATATTAAACTATCCGTATCTGTATACAATAATTTGATTTTACTAAACTTTTTAATCATATAGTTATAATGAAAATCATACATTAATGTTTTTGAAATATCTAAAATGCAAAACCCTAAATAAATTGGTTTGTTATATATTAACT